AAAAATAGACTTTCTTTTTCTTTTTGATTGATTAAATAAATACTTTATTTGATTGATATTCATGCTTGAATATGTAATAAAATATCAAAATGAATCTATAGAGGATTTCCTTACATTTGAATGAATAATTAAAATGCTAATTGAATTTTATAAAAGGGAGAGAGAGAGAGTAACAATGATGACATATTGAATCAACTGTTACATTATTCGATAAGTTGTCGGAAATATAAAAATTAAAGTAGTATTTGTTTTTCTATTTTTATCTATGGTTGGATAGAGCTTGATGAGTTGATCAAAAAAAATAAATGCGTTCTTTTGTATTTTTTTTATTTTATTCGAATGAGTTTTTTTGCGCAGAAGTTTTTAGTTTATCGTGATGACCTACTTTTTTTTTTTTTGTTGAAAAAATAGGTCAATATTTGATAACCGACATATTGTCAAGGTTCTTTTTTTTTCCTTTTCCTTTTCAATTTTAAAATTTTCTCTTTAAAACTCCGCATGAGAAACTAAATTTAGGAATGTCATTTATAAATAACTTATCTAGATTCAATTTTACATGCTGAGTCTGAAAGAAACCGTTATGTAATTTGAAAGAAACAAAAAAAAAAACAAAACTTGTAATTTTGCAGTTTATTAAAAAAAATTGACCTGTTTTACAAAAAAACAAAGGAAGTAAGTCATCGAGAAAAATTGAAAATTTACGCGTAAAATAAAAAAAACTTATTCGAATAAAATGAAAATAGATTTATTTTTAATCAACTTGCCATGTTCTATCTAACCTTATATGAAAAAAAATAAAAATAAATTTTGTATTTCAAGTACGTTAAATAAAGATACATAAGAGATCATTGTTGTTGATATAAAGTTATTTTTCATGTCAAGTATATTTTTTTATTTTTAATATGTAGAACTCATTAAACTGTTACTCAAGCAAAATTCAGTCATATATTAATTATAAGATTCTTGATACGGAATTATTAAAAAAAAATCTTATAAAATTTTCATTATAATAATCCTACGAAAAACCTATTAGTACGAATCAAACAAGTTCTTACAAAATTTTGTACAGTCATTGAAAGTTCGTTTGATTCATTTCGGCAACACTCAAATTATATCAAATTCGCTTTTTTTTTATGAAGTAAATATCGTCATGATCTTGAAGTATAGTGTAATCGTTCTTGATTTCATCTGCTGTTGTCAAATTTACATTTTCCTTGTTTCATTACGCATAGTATAGTTTCATTTAATATTTGTTTCTAGTGCTATTTTAAATTATTTCTTAGTTTTTTTTATATTTGCATTTCTCTTTAGTTTTTTTTGTAAATGTTTAATGATTATATATAAAGAATTCATAATAAAAGACTTTTTGAAGAAAACAAACAGATAGAAATTGAAAATAAGCTAAAGATTTCTCAAAAAAAGAAAACAACTCTACAAAATTATATGTGAATTGTATAGAATTAAATAAGATCTGACAATATTTATAAATAATTTGTTTGAACTGAATCAGAACACCATCTCATGGGCACATTTGTTAATTCTAAATTTTAAGTATTATAATGAATTTCAGCCCATATCAGCTATCTTATCTAAAAAAAAAAAGAAATAAGGTGTCTGAGTTAATTATAGACACATGAAAAAAAAACCCAATGTTCATGGTATGAAGTGTCAGATTACCGTTAGTATTAAAACGGATCCCAATACGTTAAGATTATTTTATTAGAACTAATTAATATCAAGCCATTCTATGAGATTAGCCTTATTTTTAATTCTAATATATATATGTTACGTGAGACTATACCTGTGAGTTCTCATCATCAGAATGTTTCAATAAAAGATCAAAGATTCTTTTGAACTTGATAGTGTAATAGAACAAAGTTCTTTTCTTTTTATATTCCGACGGTATGGTTTCCAGTCATAGAAGAAAATTGTTGTGCTTAATGAACTTCTGAGGTTAGTGCGTTTGAAATCTAATCATCAGTAATCTATGTATTAGAATTAAAAACTATTGTTAACATATAGAGCATGAAAGTTATTCTAATGCAAAAAATAATATCAAGGCATTGTTAATATTTTACTTCATAAGAAATCATTTTCAATATTTTAAATTCTTTTATGAATGACTTCAAGTTTAAAGATTTACATTCGTTATATTCTTTATTTTAAGAATTATGAATCAAGTGTCAAGAAGAAAAAAATTAATCACGAAGCATTTCATAGAGTACAGATAATTAATTTAACCACGGTCATATATTCCATTAAAGATTGAGAGTGGGTCACATCTGTTGTAATCTATATTTTTGTGGCAGCATATTTTCAAAACATCAAACGAATTTTTTTGTATTTTTATCAACGCATTTTTTTTTGCTATATTTGAATACATTTACATTTTCTTCTTTCTTGAATAAAATTGGTTTTTTTTTTATTACAAGTAATACAATAGAACATTTATTCTCAATGACTTGTTGATAGATTGTGACCATGGACAATAAAAAAAACCTCAAGAAAAAGTTTTCATCAAGGATTTTTGTTCTAAACATGTTAAAAAAAATATCCGAAAATACGGTACATAGTAATAAAAAAGCGAAAATAGAAGTTGTTAAAAAATTATAAATAATAAACGCAATACACTTGTTCTATATCTAACTTGTCAAGGATTGTATACAAAAACGACGTCATACAGTTCGTTAGCTTATTTTAGATCGAAGAAAATAGTGTTAACAATCATATTAATATTTTTTTTTACTTCAACAATCAATTCTAATAATATTATCAAAAAGACAGGTGAATGATATTCATCCTTCTATTTTTATCGAAAGATAAAAATAAACAAGTATCTCAATCAAAATGATGAATTAATATGATCGTAATATAATAAAGTACAAAATATTTATAATATAAATTATTTCTATGATTAACCTCGTTTCATTTCATTAGATGTCTTTTTGTTTTCAAAATCTGACATAATTCTATTCAAATTTAGGTGAAATGATCCGGGATTTAAAGATAATATTTGATGCTTAAGTTAGTCTGAAGTATTGTATGTCACATAAAAATGAGACGTTTAATATCTCATTATCATCATTTAAAAATAGATAACTATATAATCTACTCTTTTCTTTTTTTTTGTTTCTAATTCAATAATATCAAGATGAAGTTTTAGAATCTATTTTTTTCTTTGAATTTCATTTAATAACTAGAAAATAATTTGAAATGTTTTTATAAAATAAGTATAATATAAGAAAATACTATAATTTAGTTAATTCTTCAATACAATGAATAAATACGTAAATACAATATGTTTCTTGCTCACAAGATAATATTCATAAGTGAAAATCGCAAATAAATAATATCATTTTTTCAATCTAAAATATTAATCTATTTTATTTAATATACTCCTTACATGATTAAGTACTAATCAATAATCATATCTTACAAATAGTATTTGAAATATGTGTTTAGTCAACCAAATCGTTTATTGAATATATTTTTCTCACTATTATACATTTCATAATGAATCATCTATCTATATGATAGAATTAAAAAATATTCAAAATGAATAAGATATTTTCTTTTTTTTTTTGACATACATATTTATGAATAATTGAAATCAATTTTAATTCTTATTTGCAAAGATTTTAAAATGTTCCCTTGGTAATTAAGAATGTTTCTTTTTTTTGTTTTGATTAATAATTTACAAGATATTTCGATCAATAATGTAAATAGTTTAAACTCTATCTTAAAATTTTCTTTTTTTTTTTTGGCTAAATCAACACGTGAATAAAAAAAATTATAATAAAAAATGAGTAGGAGGAAAGTCATGACGTTGTTTTTTTTTTCACAGAGTAAGGACAAAACGTAGACATATACAAATAATCACAACAATCATAGTAAATATAATAATGCGTAGGTGAAACGTTTTTTTTTTTGTTTTTCATGTGTCTAGAATTTCTTATAATATTGAAACAATTACTAAGTAATATAATAGGAAACATATAAAGATTATACGAGAACTAGGAAATCATGTCTTAAAAATTATTATTTCATCTTTTTTTTTTTTGAATTTTAACAATAATATCTGAATTATAAAAATCATTTATTATGATCAGTATCTGTTACTATCATCATGACATTCAAAGAACTATTGACATTCTTTAGATATAAAAATTATTATTGTCTATTCTTTTCTTTTTTTCTTTGCTATACAACTAAATAATCACATTAAGAAAAAAAAAGAAAAACTTGAATGATCATAAATGAGTTTTTGACTCAAGGACAAAAGAAAAAAAAAGAGATAATATCCGTTAAATATAATGAGTAACAGCTTGCATTTGAACAGAACATTTAGGTTAACGTGTGCTCGTTTCTTTCTTAACAAATGAAAAATAATCGTACGATATTTTCCATTTGCAAATAATAAAAATATGACGCTTGTTATGATTATTCAGCATTTTTTAATAAGATTCATGTCAATACTTTGATGCCACATTAAAGAAAAAAACATCCTACACATGTCTTTGTTAATTTGTATCAAACGATGGGCATATTGCCCTTGTATTCGAAAAAATTTAAATGTCAATAATCAATTCAAAGATTTCATTTCTAAATAAATGCAAAAGAACCGTAATATCCATTATAATGAAGTCAGCGAGCTTAATGCAATCATTTTTTTTGTTTGCTGTTATTAACCGGAATAAACATTGAAAAAAAAACACCTATATGGTACAGTTTTTTACGCTGCGTGAATTTAAGAGAAACAAAAAACAAAACAAAAACCAAAACAAAAAAAAAGAAAGCAACAATGGCAATACTGCAAAAAACAAGTAGACAACAGAAACAAAAGAAGAAAAAAAAAAGTAAACAAAACATGTTTCTTTATTGTCAATGTTGAGATCATACTTGAATATTGAAAGTTATTGTTTCTATTTATACAGAAATCAGACGGAAATTTTCTATGTACATTTTACCCCGAGTTTTATACTAAAATTAAAATTATTTAATTAAAATTTTAAAAATCTTAATTTAATATTACCTGCTAAGATACGTGATGCAGCTTCTTTTTGATATAAATCAGTTAGTGGATTGAGAAGTTCAAGTACCTATAAATATATTTTAAATAAAAATACAATTAAATTTTTTGTTTTTGTATCAACGAACTTTCATAATTTTCTTAAACATCATTATTCCATCAGTTTTACCACGATTATGACATAATTCTGTATATAGTGCATAAAGATAACAAGATCTTAGCATTTGAGGTACATGTTTATCTTCCATAGTTGCATCTAAAAAACCAAAAAAATATTACATATAAATATAATCAAATCAAAAAAAAAAAAAAATTATTTTACCATAATAACACATTTGTAATGGTAAGAGAAGTGAAAATTCTCTTTCATTTAAATGAAGATCACGAAAACGTTGACAAAAACTAAACATAGCATCAGTTAATTCATCACCATGTAATTGATACAACCAATGACGAGTACATTGAAAACCATTTGGTGCAAGAAAATATGATTGACCATTTTCATTATATAATTCATGATATTTAAGCTAAACAAAAAAGAAAAAAATTTTTTTTATGATATAGTTTTTTTTTCTTCAATAAAACTATTTACCAAATACCAGGCAAATCCTCGATAAGATATTATTTTTTGAAGACTTTTTAAACTTATATTTCTCATACCAGGTAACTAAATTATGAAAAATATGTATGAATAGAAAAAATGTTTTTTTTTTTTAATTTAGATTACCTCTTGAACATTTAATACAGTTGAATGAGTATATACTTGACAACATACTATAAGATAAAAAACAAATAATTTAAATGATATTTTATTTGAAATGATTGTGTTTTTTTTTTTTTGTTATAACATACATCGAATACTATTGAAAAATTCAGCTAATGTTGCATTATCACCAGGATATTCTTGAATATTATTTTCAATCATTTTATTCATTCGAGATATTAATTGTTTTTGTCGTTTTGAACGTCGAAGATAAACTTCGTATGCTGTTCGACGAAGATATCTAAATAAAAAGAAAAATCATTCTATTAGAAAATATTTGATAAGAGTAATATAGAAAACTATTCGATGTGATAGCTTGTCTCGAAATTAAATTCTATCATTGATCAAACTATTCTATATTCGATAAATAATGTAATATGTCAATTCAAATTACCCAATAAATTTTGCTTCTTTTTCATTGAGTTCAATAATTAAAGTTGATGGATTTGCACTTAATTTATTTGCTATTGTTAGAGCACATTGTAATTCTTCATCATTTAATAAATCTATTATTTGTTGAGATGAATCAGCAGTTTCATCAACTGTAAAATCATCTGGTAAAAATGTTGGATATTTTGTTCGATATATAGTTTGTGTATTTTCTTTTTCTTGACTATTGGATGTTGATTGAGATGTTATATTTATTGAATTATCAGACTGTAATTGTGAAGATTTAACTTCAGTAACTATGGACGAATTAACCTTATTTAAAATTTGTACTTGATCTTTATTTGTTGGAGAATTAAGTATTAATTTTTCTTCGAAACTATCATTTGTATATGCATTTGTTAGATCACAATCTCGTTGAATAGATGATCCTTGTGAATCCATAGAATCTAATTAATAAAACTGAACTATTACGAAGAACACACAAAAAAAAAATAAATATGATTTTCATACCTGTTTCCATTGTATTTGGATCATAATTTTCAAGAGTATGATCTGATAATGATGAACAAGATGATTCTCTTGCATGTACTGCATTAGCTTTAGCTAAAGCAGCTGCTTCTTTTAATTTTTGTTCTTTTAATTCTTTTAAAGCTCGTTCTTTAACTAATTTTGGTATACGACCCATTTTTACACCTTTTAAAATAAAAATAGATTTTTTTTTTGTTTTATATATTCTTCTCTTCCTTTTTCAATAGATTTTTTTTTTTATACACTTACCGTCAACAGACATGCCTTCGTCAATACATCGACGAAAACGACATGCTTTACAACGATTACGATTCGCTACGTTAATGAGACAGGCATTATCAAAATAGCAACGATATTTTTCTTTACGTAGAATACTTCTTTTGAAGAAACCCTAAAAATAGAAATAAAAATAAATCATAACGTGCCTTTGAGTCGAATAAAAAAAAAGAAATTTTCAATATTTTTTAGAGCAATATTAAAACTTCACTCATGATCTAAAGTCAATAGACGTTTTAATATTATTTTTATATGTGTACTATATAATTTTCTAATATTCATAGACTTATTCATATTATTACCTTACAACCTTCACAAGTTGCAATACCATAATGAATTCCTGTAGCCGAATCTGAACATACTCGACTAAAAAAAAAAAAATAAATTGCGTATTAATAATTTTTCTATCATTATATAATATAATTCTTACCAAGCTCCAAATGGAAATGTTAATCGTGCACGTTTTATTTTTGTTGATTTTGATGATATATTTGAATCCATAGATTTTGTATTTATGATTTCATTATCATCACCAATTTTTATAACTAAACCACTTTCTGGCATTTTATTTTCGAAAGACAAAATTCTTATATTAATATAATCTAGAAAAAAATAACATGCATAGTCTAATAATAATGAACTAAGAATGTCGGTCAAATGAAATGTCTTATTAAGTTGCGATTCACTATCTAGTCGACATCATCCGAGAACGCTGACAATAAAAGGAAAGAAAAGAAAAAAAAAATCGTAGAAGTGAGAAATGCGGTTGCATAAGAAAGCCCATCAAGGACAATAAGAGCTTCTAGACGCATACTTGCGTGTCCTATATATTCACGGATGTAGATTCTAACGATTATGATTTAAATTTGTTTTCAGGATGATAAGTCAAATCTAAGTTGTTTTTATAATTATTTTACCCCTAATATAATATCCTTGAATAAAATATTGTCAATAACATCAGACAAAAATCAAATCAAATATAATTATCATAACTATTTAGATAATATAAGAGAAAAAAGAAAATCATACATTTAGTATTGATATAACAACTTACATTTATAATTTACAGCACATATATAAAACGTTATATTAAAAGTGCAACTAAAAAACAAGAGAAAAGAAAAATACTGTGAGACAAACGAACGATGGAAAGACGCAGTTTGATATAATATAGACAAGAGAAAAGTAATAATAAAAAAAAAAGTACGAAAAGAGAACGATCAAAGGAAAAAAAGAAAAAAAAAAAAGAGGTCGGTTAAGAACGTTGAGACCGATTCTACATTTTATTCTTTTCAAGGTTCGCAGGTTCTGTTCGACTCACGTGCATATTACACGTGATGTTTAGTCATTTTCGTTGTTGAGTAATGAATAAGAGAAAAGGAAACAAAAAAAAAAAATAGTAGGCAGAACTTCTACTAAGGTTGTATTTTACGCAGATTCTAGAAATAGAAATTATTCATATATATATACATAAAAGTGCATCGAACAGATCAATGAGTAATATGGTATTTCCCTCAATTGCATCTTTACCTATTAACTATGTATTTCTAGACATACATAGCATTGCATGTATTAAAATAAATCAATAGAACAAAAAAAAAATAGGCGACTATTGACGAGAATAATAAGTGTTATATATACTCAAAGGACAAAGTGAGAGACAACATGATTTATACTCACTGACTTACTTTGATGAAGTAAAAGAAACGTAATACAGTGCATCTAATATTATGACAAATTCTTTTGCAAAAGAAGAGAATACACTCAATACACTTTACTAGGAAGAAATGTTTACATAAACGTTTACTCTGACGTTTATCTATATCGATCTTTGATTCATATAAACCAACAATTATGTTTTATTCTACTATTGTTTTAAAGAAACAAAAAAAGATAATATCTACGGACCTGCATAATAGGACATACTAAAGTGTAATTTTTTTTCTAATTTGAATAATTTATTATTATAATAAACAGTAAATGATACTAAAGATGAATAAAAAAACTAGTAGTACTAGTTCTTTCGATAGTTTTTATTCGTTTATTTTGGAAATAATTCAAACCACGAAGACTGATGTCATTCTTTTATTTTTTTTGTTGGTCTGTCAAGCTTTCAGAATGTTCTTGTCAAGAAATAAAAATTCAAAGACATACTTGATTGCAGAGAATCATATGAAGAATCTTTAAAAATTGAATAAGACATATTTGCATACGAGAGTATTATTGTCTCATAGCCAACGGAAGCATCTCAATTAGAAAATTATATTATAAAGATCATTGTTGATAATATTTGTAGCATAAAGGTTGTCGGAACTTTCTATTTTTTTCTTTTTTTTTATAAAACACATTATTAATTATAAAAATAGTGGATTATTTGTCGGTTAGTATGACATTACAATACTTGGAATAACACGGATTAGAACTATCAATATTCGCATCTTTTTGTTAATAACATATTTATTGAAAAATATAATCAAATATGATAAGATGATATACCAAATTTAATTGTCTCCTTGAAAATATATAACATTAATTATTTCAATTTTTACTATTAAAAAGAATAATATCTTATCCTAATAAATTGAAAATAATGACTAACCATGATTTGATATATATATATATACTAGAAATAACAACTGTTTCTCTCCTTATTTTTATGTACAAAAGAAAGAATAAAAATAACCTTGATTCAATGTAAAAACAAAAATTTTTGTTTTCAATAACAACATTATTCTATCTAGTTTTTTTTTTCTTTTTTTGCTCTTAAAATAGTCCTTTAATTATATTAATTAAATAATATATCATTTCACTTCTGTTTTTTTTTTTAATTTTTTGAAAACAATAATTTACTCATATATTTCAACAATTTATTCAAATTAATAGAATAACATTTCCATCAGATTGACCTCATTACCATTTATATATTTAAAAGAACAAAATAAAAACTCAATCGATGTTTTTCTTGTACACTATATTTTAATAAATCAATTAGGAATATCATTTAAACACTTTGTTATCAGAACAACAAAGGAAATGATAAAAAAAAAAAAAGAAGAAGAAGAAAAAAGTAGGAGGCACATTCACATAAATTCATTTAAGACACACAAAGAATAAAAGAAGAACACAGAGAATATTGACTCTCTCTACAAGCATACACGCATGTATGAGTGTGTTTTATTTTTTTGTTTGTCTTCATTTGCGTTGTTACCTTTTCTTTCCTGTTACAAGTAAAGAGAAGAACAAAAGAAAGACAAAAAAAAATGCTGACAGATTGGTTTTTATTTTTTTATTTTTTTTTATTTTGTCATTCGGAAATCGGAACGATGCACTTATGGTATAGCATAGCATATGAATAAAAAAGAATCATTATGAGAAAGAACAGAAGGGAAACTGCGCACACATATACACACAAATAGACAAGAGAAGAAAAAAAAAAAATCGAGAACAAAAAAAAAAAAAAACGAAATAGATTGATGTTCGACTTTAGGATTTTCGTTTCCACCATCATCATTCGTTATTGCAGTTAGTTTGAAAATGCACACACACACACTGTTTAAGAATAGCACTACTTTTTTTTTTGTGTTTTGTTTTTGAAAACAACAATAACAGAGTGATGCTTTTTTTTTTTCTGTGAGATGGCTGAATCACTGCGAACAACAATTATCTATATATATATATATACACTGTTATACGACAAGTAGTGCGCATAAAACACTGCAAAAATCTATTTGTGTGTATATGTGTGTAACTATTTTTAGCTTTAATAATTGCACTGTTGTGAATAAAACTACAACTAAGTGTGAAGTAAGAGAATCGGGGGAGGAGAAGGAGGAAGGGCAAGTTATGACGGTGATAAAGAGTAAATAGTACCTCTATTGCATTGTCAATCGCATGCATATAAGAGGAAACTATATATTAGAAATTTATATATATATACATAGACAAGCAAGGAGATCAATATGGACGAGATGAGGAAGAATAAAATTTTTGTGACAAGAACACACAAATACATTAAATTGATCTATTGAGATAAAACATAGCGAGAGAGAGAGAGAGAGAAAATTGATCTAGCAAAAGAGAATGATGACAAGTAAATAGATGAAAAAAAAAAAAAAGATATGAGCAACATTAGGATTAAAGGAATAATTCTAAACACTAAGCAAAATACATGACTTGAGCCGAATCCGGATGTACGGTAACTGCACGACTCAATTGGACTTGTTGTTGACCATTGGAATCACCGTTTGATGATTGATGTGAACCTTCATTACTAAAAAAAACAAAAAAAACATTTTTTTTTTCTTTTTTCTATTCTTTATTATAATGAAAATACCTTTCTGGTTCTCTTTCAATTAAATGATACCGTGCACGAAATGCAACAAGATGAGCATAATAAGCTGGTGCTGGTATTGATACTGAACGTGTACATCTGACATATGTATGACATAATTGATATGTTAATGCTTGAAGTTCATCCGAAGTAAAATTATTATCATCCCAAAGTACATGATAATGTGATGGTCGAGATGTACCTTGTATACCAGCATGTGAACATAAATAAAAATCATATTCAGTTGGATGTGTTATTGCAACATCAACTGTTGTTCCTGGTGGAATATTACCACTTTTTCCGCACTATTAATAAAAGTAGAACAAAAATAATTTTTTTTTTTTGGGTTGAAGTATTTTGTTGTTTTTTTTTTCTTTTGCTTACATAAAGTACATTGATTCTGTTATATTTTTATTCGAAATTAAACAATAAAAAGAAATTTTGAGGTTACAGAATACATTATGTAGGTTAAACAAGAATGGTAAAAGAGTAGAATCAAAAAAAAAAACGAAGTTATAAACGCAATTAAAATATATAGACCTATAGTAAACATATAAATCATCAGAACGACTAATCAAAATATCAAGGCCGTATGTATCTTCAGATAGAATTTACGCGTTTAAATGACGACGTAATCAAAGTGCATTTACGATTTAGAATAATGATAGAACTAATATCATTATTTTTAACCTACATTTCTACTGTACTGTACTGTACTGTACTATAGAAGTGTATAATATGTATATATATAATGTACAAGGTTCTGTTCTTTATCCAGGGTTCTTTCCTTATACGTAAAAAAAAAAGAATAAGATGAATATTTTTTTTGCTTGTTGATATTTAACTAAAAATAGAATCAAGAATACCTTTAGGACAAATGTATATATATATATATATTAAAAGCTAAAAACTATGAATTATTTTGAATAATAATTAAAAAAAAAATAAAAAATTTATTATTAGAATATGAATGTACGTTAAAGTCTTTTATTAAAATAAAGTTAGTTGATATAGTTATGACATATAATTAATTTATTTCATGTTATAAGTCACGATAAAAGTTCAGAAAGTTGAATTTTGTCAATATTAATATCAATAATCATTAAAATAATTATAATAAAAAGAAAAAGAAGAAAACTATGATCTTTATTGTTCTTTGAATTATATAAGTATTAACAAAAAAAAACAACAGACCTGACTTTTTCAGAAACTTACTTTCTAATTATAATATGTT